AGCTGCAGCAGTCCTATTGGACTGGGCTGTAGACACTGAATCAGCATGAGGCGGTTGTGAAACATGTTGTATTTGTCATGTTATTTCATTATCAGATCATATTGTGAATAAGCCCACTAGCCCACTAGGCTATGTAATAATTCATAGGAATAGCGTTGGGTGTTGCGCAATAGTCTATCCATGGCTCCTAACCAATTGTGCTAGTGTGTGTTTTTTGTCGTGTTATTTGTAACTTGTTTTGTACATAATGTTTCTGCCACCGTCTCTTACGACCGAAAAGAGCTTCTGGATATCAGGACAGCGATTTACTCACCTCGTACTGGCCAAAGATTTTTTCTTTAACGAGTCAGACGCAAAGGATTTTCTTCAAATACCCGACAAGGCCCAAATCCCCGTCATTCGCGTGAGAAAGAGACAGAGATATCGGATCCGACGGCAAGTGGGTAATCTGCCTCTACCATCAGTCCTATTAGTCAACGTACAATCATTGGATATGTCAAAGTTGCGTTAATTCAAATCTGGCATTAGGAAAAAAAGAGGTCAACACGACTTCTAAGATATACTAGTTATTTTAATTAATGCAAAAACCTTCAATGGTAAATATGATGTTTCGTATATACGGGCTCTCTGAAATACCTCGCAGGGCACCCCAGAGAACTAACCCATTGTTCTGGGTTCTTGCTCAAATACTCTGACAGAGGGAGTTTCCCACCTCTCTGCTGACCAATTAGAGTAGAGACTTGAGCGTGGTTTAGACTTACTCAGTCAATCCGTTGATGCATCTCTGTTACCAGGCATATGTCCATATCATAACAACCTGTCATAGTGAGAAGAGCCAGCTCCCTTAGACACCATTCCTACGTCCAAGGAAGGTTCACAGATCACAAAGAACCAGTATATTCCAGCATCTGGAGACACAAATCCCTATCTCACTTTACCCCCTAAAACAGCTCTTCACATCAATCACAGCTTGCCAGGTGTCACAGCCTACATTAGCACAGTCCAGAATGCATTCTTTCTAAGTTAGTCATTCCATCAATTTAGGAGAATAATAAATCCCCAATAGATAACAAAATAGATGAGCTACGATCACGAATATCCTACCAACGGGACATTAAAAACTGTAATATCTTATGTTTGTCACGAACGTCTACTAAGTGAGTGGACCAAGGCGCAGCGTGCGATACGAACATGACTTTATTAAATTAAAGTACTCAATACAAAACAACAAACAATGACGAATCGTGAAGTCCTCAGTTACAATGACTGATACGGAACAAAAACCCACAACACTAAGGTGAACACTGACAGTTTAAATATGGCTCCCAATCAGAGATAACGAGCCGACAGCTGACACTCGTTACCACTGATTGGGAGTCACACGACCAAACAAGGAAACACAACCAAATACAAAACAACCAATACCAAACACCACCAAATGAACACACCCTGGCTCAAAATACACAGTCCCGGAGCCAGAGCGTGACAATGTTTCACCAAGTCGTGGCTGAACGACAACATGGATAACATATAGCTGGCGAGATATACGCTGCATCGGCAGGATAGAACGGCTGACTCCGGTAAGACAAGGGGTGGCGGTCTGTGTATATTTGTAAACAACAGCTGGTGCACAAAATCTAATACTAAGGAAGTCTCTAGGTTTTGCTCGCCTGAGGTAGAGTATCCCATGATAAGCTGTAGACCACACTATTTACCAAGAGAGTTTTCATCTATATTTTTCGTAGCTGTCTATTTACCACCACAAACTGATCTGGCACTAAGACTGCACTCAATGAGCTGTACAAAGCCATAAGCAAACAGGAAAACGCTCATCCAGAGGCGGCACTTCTAGGGGCCGGGGACTTTAATGCAGGGAAACTTAAATCTTGCTAGCACAGACTGGAATTTGTTCCGGGATTCTTCCGATAGCATTGAGGAGTACACCACATCAGTCACTGGCTTCATCAATAAGTGCATCGATGACGTCAGCCCCACAGTGTACATACCCCAACCAGAAGCCATGGATTACAGGCAACATCCGCACTGAGCTAAAGGGTAGAGCTGCCGCTTTCAAGGAGCGGGACTGTAACCCGGACGCTTATAAGAAATCCCACTATGCCCTCCGATGAACCATCAAACTGACAAAGCCTCAATACAGGACTAAGATTGAATCGTACTACACCGGCTCCGACGCTTGTCGGATGTGGCAGCGCCTGCAAACCATTAAAGACTACAAAGGGAAGCACAGCCGCGAGCTGCCCAGTGACGCGAGCCTACCAGACGAGCTAAATCACTTCTATGCTCGCTTCGAGGCAAGCAACACTGAAGCATGCATGAGAGCACCACATGTTCCGGACGACTATCTGATCACGCTCTCCGTAGCCGATGTGAGTAAGACCTTTAACAGGTCAACATTCACAAGGCCGCAGGGCCAGACAGATTACCAGGACGTGTACTAAATGACGAAAATGTAAATTAATTATTTGTTTTCTAATTTTTAGTTATCTTTTTTACTCAACACTTATTTTTCTTAAAACTGCATTGTTGGTTAAGGGCTTGCAAGTAAGCATTTCACTGTAAAGGTCTACACCTGTTGTTTTCGGCTCATGTGACAAAATAAAATTTGATTTGAACACAATTGTGCACACTCTGTGTCCAATCCACAGCACAAAAACATATTAAAACATGAAAACATTACCTTGATGCTTTCTTCTGTTAAATCTAACGAGACCCTGCTGTAAATCAAGCAGACGACAACAGATGGTCAACATCAATCCGCTAGGGATATTAGATCCAACATGGATCCAGGCACAACTGTCTTCACCGGCGTAATGAATGAGACACCGAAATATTCTGGACATTCCTTGAAAACAGGAAGTTGGGCCGTTGTTGCATGAACAGCTGTTCAACATTTCACTGTCATTCAGAAAATTCCTTCCTGGATCAGATGATGATGTGTTAAATATGCATCGCTAATCAGCTGGACACTAAATGAGCCTCCAAAAAGTCCCAACATCCAACAAGTATTATGCATAATTATTGAAGAACCACTTAATAGCAGTATCGATTCAGGTTTTGTAAGTATCAAGGTAAGGTGAAGCATTCAATTTTGCCATCGCATTGATTATTTTGGATTTGTGTGCCCATGAAACTGTTTTCACCCTGTAACATAAGGAGACAAGAAATGTACCAGTAGTTACACTGCATTTCTGATATCTCTATACAAAAAAAAAAACGGTCAGGTTTTTACAGGGTTCAAGTTCAATGTTTAATTTAACTGATTCATGCTTAATATAACAACTTACACTGCCATAAATGCAAGGACAGAAAAGTAATGTTTTATGTCACACGATTTTGGACAAACCCATCAACACACCAACCATGATAAAGGGTTAAACATAGGTTTTAAATCAATGAAATCATGAATTTGATTGACTACAGCTATGATCCCAACGTATGTAATGTAATGACATGAAAACAATTGGCAGATTATTATCAATTATTTTTCAACAGCTGGAACCATTTTATCAGTGTAGGAAATCATCACTGGTACCCTAGTTTATAGAAAGAGACATTTGCATATTCCCATTAGGGAATAACTTATCTTTGAAGTACACATGCAATAACTTAGTTCGCCCTTGCACTCCTTGAAAACAACACCATGGAGGGAAAAAAAAAATAGTATAGGTGCACGTCTACAAAACTGTGCATTATGTTCTTAACAATTATTGTATTGAGATCATCCTTTTCCACGATCAGCAGAATAGTTCCATCTCGCTTTATATTATTCCACTGTTGGACACTGGGCTTCCTTTCTTACATTTTACATTTTAGTCATTTAGCAGACGCTCTTATCCAGAGCGACTTACAGTTAGTGAATGCACACATAGTGGGTTCGATTCTCCCCCCCCTGTGGGAATCGAACCCACAACCCTGGCGTTGCAAACGCCATGCTCTACCAACTGAGCTACATCCCTGCCGGCCATTCCCTCCCCTACTCTGGACGACGCTGGGCCAATTGTGCGCCACCCCATGGGTCTCCCGGTCGCGGCCGGCTACGACAGATACGAACCAGGATCTCTAGTGGCACAGCTACTTAGACCACTGCGCCACTCGGCTTCAACCAAATTCTTCAGATTTATACATCCGGTGAAACATATTTTTGTTGTTTTTATGTGGTCCTCTAATATTCAGGAGTCTATTTCCACATTCGGTGAAACATCTGGCTCCTTCTTCTAGCTGTGCTATGATAACGTGTTTCCGGTATTTTTAGGGTTTTTCCGGGTAGGTGTTGTGACGAGTTCACGTGTTTCCGGTATTTTTAGGGTTTTTCCGGGTAGGTGTTGTGACGTGTTTTCCATTTTTTGTACCCCCATGCTTTTTGGTTTTGGCTCGCAAGCTATCTAATGTTTGAAAGTTAACTTCATCTGTAAAATTAATACACAAAATGGGAGGAAAGAATAAACAGCGAACGAAAGGAAACGTTCGGGTAAGTTAGCTCGCTACTGCTATTGATTTAGCTAGATAGACATTATCTCGCTATTCTAACGTTAGCCATGACATCCGTGTGGTTAGCTTAGCTAGCTACAAAACGTTAGGCAAGGTGGATGCTATCCGGGATCATTGGGACGTCCCTACCCTAAACCATAACCTCCTACCCTTACCTTAACCCTTACCCTTACCTTAACCCTTACCTTAACCCTTACCTTAACCCTTAACCGTTTTACATTTCAACTTCAATGGTGTAACGTCAGAGTTGGGATGTCCCAAGGATCCCGGATTGCACCGACCCATTATGTAACGTTAACTTGCCAATTCAAAGTTCACGCCAGCATAACTTTCCAGAATTTCATGTTTGATACATTCAACTCACCAGCAAGTTAGAAATAAACTAACTAGTTTGTCATCGAGCTACCCGATGTTACTTATGGTAATGTTATGGTGAATGTGCTAACTAACTACCTAACAACCTGACATTTCGTCCAAACCTCCTCCACCAGCCGTCCAGCAGCGGGCGGGCTGCCGAGTTGCTGGCCCGGGAGAGTGGTGTCGTTCCTGGGTTCGTGGGGTTCGGCACCACAGCGACCACAGAGCTGGGCTATGTGCCTGCTGTCCATGGGGCAGAGGAGATTGACAACCTGGTTGACGCTGACTTCCGCCTGGTGTTGAGGAAACTATCCAAGAGAGACACCGTCACCAAACTGAAGGTAAGATCTTAGAGAGAGAGAGAGAGAAGGAAATAGATATACAGCTTTGCGGAGGCCAAATCAACCTTCGTATGGTAACGATGTGCGCCTCCCAAATTTTTGTAAAGATGCGGAGGGCTCCACATTGGCATGATTGGTTGACCGTAGATGGGGGGCGGTGAGTCCTGTATCAACACAAACTCGCTTCCTTGACATTGGTCCACGTCTACTCCCACTCCTACACTAGCCGGCACATTGGCCCACGTCTACTCCCACTCCTACACTAGCCAGCACATTGGCCCACGTCTACTCCCACTCCTACACTAGCCAGCACATTGGCCCACGTCTACTCCCACTCCTACACTAGCCGGCACATTGGTCCACGTCTACTCCCACTCCTACACTAGCCAGCACATTGGCCCACCGCCGGCACATTGGTCCATGTCTACTCCCACTCCTAAACTTGCCGGCACATTGGTCCAAGTCTACTCCCACTCCTAAACTTGCCGGCACATTGGTCCACGTCTACTCCCACTCCTACACTAGCCAGCACCTTGGCCCACGTCTACTCCCACTCCTACACTAGCCAGCACATTGGCCCACGTCTACTCAGTGGCGCAGTGGTCTAAGGCACTGCATCACAGTGCTAGCTGTGCCACTAGAGATCCTGGTTCGAATCCAGGCTCTGTCGCAGCCGGCCGCGACCGGGAGACTCATGGGCGGCGCACAATTGGCCCAGCGTCGTCCAGGGTAGGGGAGGGAATGGCCGGCAGGGATGTAGCTCAGTTGATAGAGCATGGCGTTTGCAACGGCAGGGTTGTGGGTTTGATTCCCACGGGGGGCCAGTATGAAAAAAATTAAATATATATATATATATATATATATGTGTGTATGTATTCACTAACTGTAAGTCGCTCTGGATAAGAGGATCTGCTAAATGACGTAAATGTAAATGTAAATGTACTCCCACTCCTAAACTTGCCGGCACATTGGTCCACGTCTACTCCCACTCCTAAACTTGCCGGCACATTGGCCCACGTCTACTCCCACTCCTAAACTTGCCGGCACATTGGTCCACGTCTACTCCCACTCCTAAACTTGCCGGCACATTGGCCCACGTCTACTCCCACTCCTACACTAGCCAGCACATTGGCCCACGTCTACTCCCACTCCTAAACTTGCCGGCACATTGGTCCAAGTCTACTCCCACTCCTAAACTTGCCGGCACATTGGTCCACGTCTACTCCTACACTTGCCGGCACATTGGTCCACGTCTACTCCCACTCCTAAACTTGCCGGCACATTGGTCCACGTCTACTCCCACTCCTAAACTTGCCGGCACATTGGTCCACGTCTACTCCCACTCCTACACTAACCAGCACATTGGTCCACGTCTACTCCCACTCCTACACTAGCCAGCACATTGGCCAACATCTACTCCCACTCCTAAACTTGCCGGCACATTGGTCCACGTCTACTCCTACACTAGCCAGCACCTTGGTCCACGTCTACTCCCACTCCTACACTAGCCGGCACATTGGTCCACGTCTACTCCCACTCCTACACTAGCCAGCACATTGGCCCACGTCTACTCCCACTCCTAAACTTGCCGGCACATTGGCCCACGTCTACTCCCACTCCTAAACTTGCCGGCACATTGGTCCACGTCTACTCCTACACTAGCCGGCACATTGGTCCACGTCTACTCCTACACTAGCCGGCACATTGGTCCACGTCTACTCCCACTCCTACACTTGCCGGCACATTGGTCCACGTCTACTCCCACTCCTACACTAGCCGGCATGGGAGATATAAAGGGCTAATCCGAGCTAGAATGTGGTAAAAATTGGACTATATGAATTGGGCTCCATAAAACATTGGTAGATTTTTTTTGTTGTTGCCGGCAACATACGGTTAAGACTGTCTGTAAATGGTAATAGAGAGAGGAGAGAGTACCAAAAGCTGATATCACACAGAATAGGGTGCCAGTCGCTTCCATTCCCTTGGGAGAAGAATGTTCGAGGGCTAGTACACGGATGCACACACGCACGCAAACATACACTCTAACACACACACACACACACACACACACACACACACACACACACACACACACACACACACACACACACACGCCCTGTCCCGGAGGCTCTGACATTTTTCTCAGTTTTTCCTTTACAGGCAGTGCAGGAGTTTGGAGCTATGTGTTATAATATAATGGTTTTCTCTACAGGCAGTGCAGGAGTTTGGAGCTATGTGTTATAATATAATGGTTTTCCCCTACAGGCAGTGCAGGAGTTTGGAGCTATGTGTTATAATATAATGGTTTTCCCCTACAGGCAGTGCAGGAGTTTGGAGCTATGTGTCAGGAGCGGGACTCGGAGGTAGTTAAAGGAGTTTTACCTTACTGGCCCAGGATCTACTGCAAGATATCAGTGGTGAGTCTTAGTGAGCTGCTACACTTGGGGGGTCTCAAGTCTTTGCATATCGTATGTGATCCTTGTGGGACTTGAACCCATGACTGATTATGTTGTTGATTCCAGGACCACGACCGGCGTGTGAGAGAGGCAACCCAGCAGGCGTTTGAACAGCTGGTCCTTAAGGTGAGAGACAGAAAGCCCAAAAGACACACAGACAGCAGGACGGACGTACAGACACACACACTTGAATAACCCATTGATCCCTGTATAACCCCAGGTGCGTCGTAGTCTAGCCCCCTACCTGAAGAGTGTGATGGGCCACTGGCTGCTGTCTCAGTGTGACAGCTATCCCCCTGCTGCCTCTGCTGCCTGCCAGGCCTTCAGCGCTGCCTTCCCCCCCAGCAAACAGGCTGAGGCGCTTAGCTTCTGCAAGGACGAGGTTCTCACTGTGAGTAGTCTATTCTATAGTAAAGAGAGAGGTCTTCACTGTCAGTAGTCTATTCTATAGTAAAGAGAGAGGTCCTCACTGTCAGTAGTCTATTCTATAGTAAAGAGAGAGGTCTTCACTGTCAGTAGTCTATACTATAGTAAAGAGAGAGGTCCTCACTGTCAGTAGTCTATACTATAGGAAAGAGAGAGGTCTTCACTGTCAGTAGTCTATACTATAGTAAAGAGAGAGGTCCTCACTGTCAGTAGTCTATACTATAGTAGAGAGAGGTCTTCACTGTCAGTAGTCTATACTATAGTAGAGAGAGGTCTTCACTGTCAGTAGTCTATACTATAGTAGAGAGGTCTTCACTGTCAGTAGTCTATACTATAGTAAAGAGAGAGGTCTTCACTGTCAGTAGTCTATACTATAGTAGAGAGAGAGGTCCTCACTGTCAGTAGTATATATACCTATAGTAAAGAGAGAGGTCCTCACTGTCAGTAGTCTATACTATAGTAAAGAGAGAGGTATTCACTGTCAGTAGTCTATACTATAGTAAAGAGAGAGGTCTTCACTGTCAGTAGTCTATACTATAGTAAAGAGAGACGTCCTCACTGTCAGTAGTCTATACTATAGTAAAGAGAGAGGTCTCACTGTCAGTAGTCTATACTATAGTAGAGAGAGAGGTCCTCTGTCAGTAGTCTATATATAGTAAAGGAGGGTCCTACTGTCAGATTCTATACTATGTAAGAGAGAGGTCCTCACTGTCAGTAGTCTATACTATAGTAAAGAGAGAGGTCTCACTGTCAGTAGTCTATACTATAGTAAGAGAGAGGTCCTCACTGTCAGTAGTCTATATATAGTAAAGAGAGAGTCCTCACTGTCAGTAGTCTATTTATAGTAAAGAGAGAGGTCCTTCACTGTCAGTAGTCTATACTATAGTAGAGAGAGGTCCTCACTGTCAGTAGTCTATACTATAGTGGAGAGGTCCTCACTGTCAGTAGTCTATACTATAGTAAGAGAGATCCTCACTGTCAGTAGTCTATACTATAGTAGAGAGAGGTCTCACTGTCAGTAGTCTATACTATGTAGAGAGTGTCCTCACTGTCAGTAGTCTATACTATAGTAAAGAGAGAGGACCTCACTGTCAGTAGTCTATACTAATAGTAAGTGAGAGAGGTCCTCACTGTCAGTAAGGTTATAACTATAGTAAGAGAGAGGTCCTCACTTTCATAGTCTAACTAAGTAAAGATAGAGGTCCTCACTGTCAGTATCTGATCTATAGTAAAGAGAAGAGGTCCCTCAACTGTCAGTAAGTCTATACTATAGTAAAAGAGAGAGGTTCCTCACTGTCAGTAGTCCTTATACTATAGTAGAGAGAGAGGTCCTTCACTGGTCAGTAGTCTATACTAATAGTAGAGAGATGGTCCTCACTGTCCATAGTTCTATACTATAGTAGAGAGAGGTCCTCACTGTCAGTAGTCTATACTATATTAGAGAGAGAGGTCTCACTGTCAGTAGTCTATACGATAGTAAGAGAGGTCCTCACTGTCAGTAGTCACTACTCTAGTAGAGAGAGGTCCTCACTGTCAGTAGTCTATACTAGGTAGAGAGAGGAGGTCCTCACTGTCCAGGAGATCTAATAACTATAGGAAAGAGAGAGGTCCTCACTGTCCAGTAGTCTATACTTATAAGTGAAAGAGAGAGGTCATCACTGTCAGTAGTCTATACTATCAGTAAGAGAGAGGTCTCACTGTCAAGTTAGTCTAGACTAGAATGGAGAGAGAAGGTCCTCACTGTCAGTAGTCTATACTATAGTAAAGAGAGAGGTCCTCACTGTCAGTAGTCTATACTATAGTAAAGAGAGAGTCCTCACTGTCAGTAGTCTATACTATAGTAAAGAGAGAGGTCCTCCTGTCAGTAGTCATACTAGTAGAGAGAGAGGTCCTCACTGTCAGTAGTCTATACTATAGTAAAGGAGAGGTTCTCACTGTCAGTAGTCTTATTATAGTAAGAGAGGGTCCTCACTGTCATAGTCTATACTATATAAAGAGAGAGGTCTCACTGTCAGTAGTCATACTATAGTAAAGAGAGGAGGATCCTCACTGTCAGTAGTCTATACTATAGAAAGAGAGAGAGGTCCTCACTGTCAGTAGTCTATACTCTAGTAAGAGGCCTCACGTCAGTCATACTATGTAGAGGTGTCATGTCAGTCTATACTATAGTAAGAGGGTTCACTGTCAGTAGTCTATACTATAGTAGAGAGAGGTCCTCACTGTCAGTAGTCTATACTATAGTAAGAGAGAAGGTCCTCACTGTCAGTAGTCTATACTATAGTAGAGAGAGGTCCTCACTGTCAGTAGTCTATACTATAGAAAGAGAGGTCCTCACTGTCAGTAGTTTATTCTATAGTAAAGAGAGAGGTCCTCACTGTCAGTAGTCTATACTATAGTAAAGAGAGAGGTCCTCACTGTCAGTAGTCTAACTATAGTAAAGAGAGAGGTCTTCACTGTCAGTAGTCTATACTATAGTAAAGAGAGAGGTCCTCACTGTCAGTAGTCTATACTATAGTAAGAGAGAGGATCTCACTGTCAGTAGTCTATACGATAGTAGAGAGAGTTTCCTCACTGTCAGTAGTCTATACTATAGTAAAGAGAAAGGTCTCACTGTCAGTAGTCTATACTATGTAAAGAGAGGTCCTCACTGTCAGTAGTCTATACTATAGTAAGAGAGGAGGTCCTCACTGTCAGTAGTCTAACTATAGTAAAGAGAGAGGTCTTCACTGTCAGTAGTCTATACTATAGTAAAGAGAGAGGTCCTCACTGTCAGTAGTCTATACTATAGTAAAGAGAGAGGTCCTCACTGTCAGTAGTCTATACTATAGTAAAGAGAGAGGTCCTCACTGTCAGTAGTCTATACTATAGTAAAGAGAGAGGTCTTCACTGTCAGTAGTCTATACTATAGTAAAGAGAGAGGTCCTCACTGTCAGTAGTCTATACTATAGTAGAAGAGAGGTCCTCACTGTCAGTAGTCTATACTATAGTAAAGAGAGGTCCTCACTGTCAGTAGTCTATACTATAGTAAAGAGAGAGGTCCTCACTGTCAGTAGTCTATACTATAGTAGAGAGGTCCTCACTGTCAGTAGTCTATACTATAGTAAAGAGAGAGGTCCTCACTGTCAGTAGTCTATACTATAGTAAAGAGAGAGGTCCTCACTGTCAGTAGTCTATACTATAGTAAAGAGAGAGGTCCTCACTGTCAGTAGTCTATACTATAGTAAAGAGAGAGGTCCTCACTGTCAGTAGTCTATACTATAGTAAAGAGAGAGGTCCTCACTGTCAGTAGTCTATACTATAGTAAAGAGAGAGGTCCTCACTGTCAGTAGTCTATACTATAGTAAAGAGAGAGGTCCTCACTGTCAGTAGTCTATACTATAGTAGAGAGAGGTCCTCACTGTCAGTAGTCTATACTATAGTGGAGAGGTCCTCACTGTCAGTAGTCTATACTATAGTAGAGAGGTCCTCACTGTCAGTAGTCTATACTATAGTAGAGAGAGGTCCTCCACTGTTAGTAGTCTATACTATAGTAGAGAGAGGTCCTCACTGTCAGTAGTCTATACTATAGTAAGAGAGAGGTCCTCACTGTCAGTAGTCTATACTATAGTAGAGAGAGGTCCTCACTGTCATTTAGTCTATATTATAGTAAAGAGGGGAGCCTGTCATACTATACTATAGTAGTCCTACTTATAGCATAAAGAGAGAGGTCCTCACTGTCAGTAGTCTATACTATAGTAAGAGAGAGGTCTCACTGTCAGTAGTCTATACTATAGTAAAGAGAGAGGTATTCACTGTCAGAGAGAGGTCCTCACTGTCAGTAGTCTATACTATAGTAGAGAGAGTCCTCACTGTCAGTAGTCTATACTATAGTAAGAGAGAGGTCCTCACTGTCAGTAGTCTATACTATAGTAAAGAGAGAGGTCCTCACTGTCAGTAGTCTATACTATAGTAAAGAGAGGTCCTCACTGTCAGTAGTCTATACTATAGTAAAGAGAGAGGTCCTCACTGTCAGTAGTCTATACTATAGTAAAGAGAGAGGTCCTCACTGTCAGTAGTCTATACTATAGTAAAGAGAGAGGTCCTCACTGTCAGTAGTCTATACTATAGTAAAGAGAGAGGTCCTCACTGTCAGTAGTCTATACTATAGTAAAGAGAGAGGTCCTCACTGTCAGTAGTCTATACTATAGTAAGAGAGAGGTCCTCACTGTCAGTAGTCTATACTATAGTAAGAGAGAGGTCCTCACTGTCAGTAGTCTATACTATAGTAAGAGAGAGGTCCTCACTGTCAGTAGTCTATACTATAGTAAGAGAGAGGTCCTCACTGTCAGTAGTCTATACTATAGTAAGAGAGAGGTCTCACTGTCAGTAGTCTATACTATAGTAAGAGAGAGGTCCTCACTGTCAGTAGTCTATACTATAGTAAGAGAGAGGTCCTCACTGTCAGTAGTCTATACTATAGTAAGAGAGAGGTCCTCACTGTCAGTAGTCTATACTATAGTAAAGAGAGAGGTCCTCACTGTCAGTAGTCTATACTATAGTAAAGAGAGAGGTCCTCACTGTCAGTAGTCTATACTATAGTAAAGAGAGAGGTCCTCACTGTCAGTAGTCTATACTATAGTAAAGAGAGAGGTCCTCACTGTCAGTAGTCTATACTATAGTAAAGAGAGAGGTCCTCACTGTCAGTAGTCTATACTATAGTAAAGAGAGAGGTCCTCACTGTCAGTAGTCTATACTATAGTAAAGAGAGGTCCTCACTGTCAGTAGTCTATACTATAGTAAGAGAGAGGTCCTCACTGTCAGTAGTCTATTACTATAGTAAGAGAGAGGTCCTCACTGTCAGTAGTCTATACTATAGTAAAGAGAGAGGTCCTCACTGTCAGTAGTCTATACTATAGTAAAGAGAGAGTCCTCACTGTCAGAGTCTATACTATAGTAAGAGAGAGGTCCTCACTGTCAGTAGTCTATACTATAGTAAAGAGAGAGGTCCTCACTGTCAGTAGTCTATTACTATAGTAAGAGAGAGGTCCTCACTGTCAGTAGTCTATACTATAGTAGAGAGAGAGGTCCTCACTGTCAGTAGTCTATACTATAGTAAAGAGAGAGGTCCTCACTGTCAGTAGTCTATACTATAGTAGAGAGAGGGTCCTCACTGTCAGTGTCTATATTATAGTAAGAGAGAGGTCCTCACTGTCAGTAGTTATACTATAGTAGAGAGAGGTCCTCACTGTCAGTAGTCTATACTATAGTAGGAGAGGTCCTCACTGTCAGTAGTCTATTACTATAGTAAAGAGAGAGGTCCTCACTGTCAGTAGTCTATCTATAGTAGAGAGAGGTCTCTCACTGTCAGTAGTCCTATACTAGTAAGAGAGAGTCCTCACTGTCAGTAGTCTATACTATAGTAAAGAGAGAGGTCCTCACTGTCAGTAGTCTATACTATAGTAAAGAGAGAGGTCCTCACTGTCAGTAGTCTATACTATAGTAAAGAGAGAGGTCCTCACTGTCAGTAGTCTATACTATAGTAAGAGAGAGGTCCTCACTGTCAGTAGTCTATACTATAGTAAAGAGAGAGGTCCTCACTGTCAGTAGTCTATACTATAGTAAAGAGAGAGGTCCTCACTGTCAGTAGTCTATACTATAGTAAGAGAGAGGTTCACTGTCAGTAGTCTATACTATAGTAGAGGAGGTTCACTGTCAGTAGTCTATACTATAGTAAGAGAGAGGTCTTCACTGTCAGTAGTCTATACTATAGTAAAGAGAGAGGTCTCACTGTCAGTAGTCTATACTATAGTAAAGAGAGAGGTCATCACTGTCAGTAGTCTATACTATAGTAAAGAGAGAGGTCTCACTGTCAGTAGTCTATATATAGTAAAGAGAGAGGTCCTCACTGTCAGTAGTCTATACTATAGTAAAGAGAGAGGTCCTCACTGTCAGTAGTCTATACTATAGTAAGAGAGAGGTCCTCACGTCAGTAGTCTATACTATAGTAAAGAGGAGGTCCTCACTGTCAGTAGTCTATAATATAGTAAAGAGAGAGGTCCTCACTGTCAGTAGTCTATATATAGTAAAGAGAGAGGTCCTTCACTAGTCAGTAGTCTATCTATAGTAAGGAGAGAGGTCCTCACTGTCAGTAGTCTATACTATAGTAAGAGAGAGGTCTTCACTGTCAGTAGGTCTATACTATGTAAAGAGAGAGGTCCTCACTGTCAGTAGTCTATACTATAGTAAAGAGAGAGGTCCTCACTGTCAGTAGTCTATACTATAGTATAAAGAGAGGCGGTCCCCTCACTGTCAGTTCAGTCTATACTATAGTAAAGAGAGATGGTCCTCACTGTCCAGTAGTCTTTATACTTATAGTAAGAGAGAGGTCCTCACTGTCAGTAGTCTTTATATAGTATAAAGAGAGAGGATGGTCCTCACTGTCCGTAGTCTATGACTCTAGCTAAAGAGAGAGGTCCTCACTGTCCAGTAGTCTATACTATAGTACAGAGAGAGGTCCTCACTGTCAGTATAGCTATACTATAGTAAAGAGACGGAGGTCTTCAATGTCAGTTAAGGTCTATCCTATAGTTAAAGAGAGAGGTCCTCACTGTCAGTAGTCTCTTACTATAGTAAAGAGAGAGGTCCTCACGTCAGTAGCTATACGATAGTAGAGAGAGGTCTCACTGTCATAGTCTATGAATATAGTAAAAAGAGAGAGGTCCTCACTGTCAGTAGTCTATACTATAGTAAAGAGAGAGTCCTCACTGTCAGTAGTCTATACTATAGTAAAGAGAGAGGTCCTCACTGTCAGTAGTCTATACTATAGTAGAGAGAGAGGTCCTCACTGTCAGTAGTCTATACTATAGTAAAGAGAGGTCTTCCACTGTCGTAGTCTATACTATAGTAGAGAGAGAGGTCCTCACTGTCAGTAGTCTATACTATAGTAAGAGAGAGGTCTCACTGTCCAGTAGTCTATACTTAGTAAGAGAGAGGTCCTCACTGTCAGTAGTCTATACTATAGTAAAGAGAGAGGTCCTCACTGTCAGTAGTTCTATACTTAGTAAGAGAGAGGTCCTCACTGTCAGTAGTCTATACTATAGTAGAGAGAGAGGTCCTCACTGTCAGTAGTCTGATACTATAGTAGAGAGAGGTCCTCACTGTCCAGTAGTCTACTACTAAGTAGAGAGAGAGGGTCCTCACTGTCAGTAGTCTATACTATAGTAAAGTGAGAGGTCTTCACTGTCAGTAGTCTATATTATAGTAAAGAGAGAGGTCCTCACTGTCAGTAGTCTATATTATAGTAAAGAGAGAGGTCTTCACTGTCAGTAGTCTATACTATAGTAGAGAGAGGTCCTCACTGTCAGTAGTCTATACTATAGTAAAGAGAGATCCTCACTGTCAGTAGTCTATACTATAGTAGAGAGAGGTCTTCACTGTCAGTAGTCTATACTATAGTAGAGAGTTCCTCACTGTCAGTAGTCTATACTATAGTAAAGAGAGAGGACCTCACTGTCAGTAGTCTATACTATAGTAGAGAGGTCCTCACTGTCAGTAGTCTATACTATAGTAAAGAGAGAGGTCCTCACTGTCGGTAGTCTATACTATAGTAAAGAGAGAGGTCCTCACTGTCAGTAGTCTATACAATAGAAAAGAGGTCCTCACTGTCAGTAGTCTATACTATAGTAAAGAGAGAGGTCCTCACTGTCAGTAGTCTATACTATAGTAAAGAGAGAGGTCCTCACTGTCAGTAGTCTATACTATAGTAGAGAGAGGTCTTCACTGTCAGTAGTCTATACTATAGTAAAGAGAGAGGTCCTCACTGTCAGTAGTCTATACTATAGTAAAGAGAGAGGTCCTCACTGTCAGTAGTCTATACTATGTAAAGAGAGAGGTCCTCACTGTCAGTAGTCTATACTATAGTAAAGAGAGAGGTCCTCACTGTCAGTAGTCTATACTATAGTAAAGAGAGAGGTCCTCACTGTCAGTAGTCTATACTATAGTAAAGAGAGAGGTCCTCACTGTCAGTAGTCTATACTATAGTAAAGAGAGAGGTCCTCACTGTCAGTAGTCTATACTATAGTAAAGAGAGAGGTCCTCACTGTCAGTAGTCTATACTATAGTAGAGAGAGAGGTCCTCACTGTCAGTAGTCTATACTATAGTATAGAGAGAGGTCCTCATTGTCAGTAGTCTATATTATAGTAAAGAGAGAGGTCCTCACTGTCAGTAGTCTATACTATAGTAAAGAGAGAGGTCCTCACTGTCAGTAGTCTATACTATAGTAAAGAGAGAGGTCCTCACTGTCAGTAGTCTATACTATAGTAAAGAGAGAGGTCCTCACTGTTAGTAGTCTATATTATAGTAAAGAGAGAGGTCCTCACTGTAAGTAGTCTATACTATAGTAAAGAGAGAGGTCCTCACTGTCAGTAGTCTATATTATAGTAAAGAGAGAGGTCCTCACTGTCAGTAGTCTATACTATAGTAAAGAGATCCTCACTGTCAGTAGTCTATACTATAGTAGAGAGAGAGGTCCTCACTGTCAGTAGTCTATACTATAGTAAAGAGAGAGGTCTTCACTGTCAGTAGTCTATACTATAGTAGAGAGAGAGGTCCTCACTGTCAGTAGTCTATACTCTAGTAGAGAGGTCCTCACTGTCAGTAGTCTATACTATAGTAGAGGTGTTCACTGTCAGTAGTCTATACTATAGTAGAGGTGTTCACTGTCAGTAGTCTATACTATAGTAGAGAGAGGTCCTCACTGTCAGTAGTCTATACTATAGTAGAGAGAGAGGTCCTCACTGTCAGTAGTCTATACTATAGTAGAGAGAGGTCCTCACTGTCAGTAGTCTATACTATAGTAGAGAGGTCCTCACTGTCAGTAGTTTATTCTATAGTAAAGAGAGATGTCCTCACTGTCAGTAGTCTATACTATAGTAAAGAGAGAGGTCCTCACTGTCAGTAGTCTATACTATAGTAAAGAGAGAGGTCCTCACTGTCAGTAGTCTATACTATAGTAGAGAGAGAGGCTTCACTGTCAGTAGTCTATTCTATAGTAAAGAGAGAGGTCCTCACTGTCAGTAGTTTATTCTATAGTAAAGAGAGATGTCCTCACTGTCAGTAGTCTATACTATAGTAAAGAGAGAGGTCCTCACTGTCAGTAGTCTATACTATAGTAGAGAGAGAGGTCCTCACTGTCAGTAGTCTATACTATAGTAAAGAGAGAGGTCTTCACTGTCAGTAGTCTATACTATAGTAAAGAGAGAGGTCCTCACTGTCAGTAGTCTATACTATAGTAAAGAGAGAGGATCTCACTGTCAGTAGTCTATACTATAGTAGAGAGAGAGGTCCTCACTGTCAGTAGTCTATACTATAGTAGAGAGAAAGGTCTTCACTGTCAGTAGTCTATACTATAGTAAAGAGAGGTCCTCACTGTCAGTAGTCTATACTATAGTAAAGAGAGAGGTCCTCACTGTCAGTAGTCTATACTATAGTAAAGAGAGGTCTTCACTGTCAGTAGTCTATACTATAGTAAAGAGAGAGGTCCTCACTGTCAGTAGTCTATACTATAGTAAAGAGAGAGGATCTCACTGTCAGTAGTCTATACTATAGTAAAGAGAGAGGTCCTCACTGTCAGTAGTCGATACTATAGTAGAGAGAGGTCTTCACTGTCAGTAGTCTATACTATAGTAAAGAGAGAGGTCATCACTGTCAGTAGTCTATACTATAGTAGAGAGAGAGGTCCTCACTGTCAGTAGTCTATACTATAGTAAAGAGAGAGGTCCTCACTGTCAGTAGTCTATACTATAGTAGAGAGAGGTCCTCACTGTCAGTAGTTTATTCTATAGTAAAGAGAGATGTCCTCACTGTCAGTAGTCTATACTATAGTAGAGAGAGAGGTCCTCACTGTCAGTAGTCTATACTATAGTAGAGAGAGAGGTCCTCACTGTCAGTAGTCTATACTATAGTAAAGAGAGAGGTCCTCACTGTCAGTAGTCTATACTATAGTAAAGAGAGAGGTCTTCACTGTCAGTAGTCTATACTATAGTAAAGAGAGAGGTCCTCACTGTCAGTAGTCTATACTATAGTAGAGAGAGGTCTTCACTGTCAGTAGTCTATACTATAGTAAAGAGAGAGGTCCTCACTGTCAGTAGTCTATACTATAGTAAAGAGAGAGGTCCTCACTGTCAGTAGTCTATACAATAGAAAAGAGGTCTTCACTGTCAGTAGTCTATACTATAGTAAAGAGAGAGGATCTCACTGTCAGTAGTCTATACTATAGTAGAGAGAGAGGTCCTCACTGTCAGTAGTCTATACTATAGTAAAGAGAGAGGTCCTCACTGTCAGTAGTCTATACTATAGTAGAGAGAGAGGTCTTCACTGTCAGTAGTCTATACTATAGTAAAGAGAGAGGTCCTCACTGTCAGTAGTCTATACTATAGTAAAGAGAGGTCCTCACTGTCAGTAGTCTATACTATAGTAAAGAGAGAGGTCCTCACTGTCAGTAGTCTATACTATAGTAAAGAGAGAGGTCCTCACTGTCAATAGTCGATACTATAGTAAAGAGAGAGGTCCTCACTGTCAGTAGTCTATACTATAGTAAAGAGAGAGGTCCTCACTGTCAGTAGTCTATACTATAGTAAAGAGAGAGGTCTTCACTGTCAGTAGTCTATACTATAGTAGAGGTCCTCACTGTCAGTAGTCTATACTATAGTAAAGAGAGAGGTCCTCACTGTCAGTAGTCTATACTATAGTAGAGAGAGAGGTCTTCACTGTCAGTAGTCTATACTATAGTAGAGAGAGAGGTCCTCACTGTCAGTAGTCTATACTATAGTAGAGAGAGGTCCTCACTGTCAGTAGTCTATACTATAGTAAAGAGAGAGGTCTTCACTGTCAGTAGTCTATACTATAGTAAAGAGAGAGGTCCTCACTGTCAGTAGTCTATACTATAGTAAAGAGAGAGGTCTTCACTGTCAGTAGTCTATACTATAGTAGAGAGAGGTCCTCACTGTCAGTAGTCTATACTATAGTAGAGAGAGGTCCTCACTGTCAGTAGTCTATACTATAGTAAAGAGAGAGGTCCTCACTGTCAGTAGTCTATACTATAGTAGAGAGAGGTCTTCACTGTCAGTAGTCTATACTATAGTAAAGAGAGAGGTCCTCACTGTCAGTAGTCTATACTATAGTAAAGAGAGAGGTCCTCACTGTCAGTAGTCTATACTATAGTAAAGAGAGAGGTCCTCACTGTCAGTAGTCTATATTATAGTAAAGAGAGAGGTCCTCACTGTCAGTAGTCTATACTATAGTAGAGAGAGAGGTCATCACTGTCAGTAGTCTATACTATAGTAGAGAGAGAGGTCCTCACTGTCAGTAGTCTATACTATAGTAAAGAGAGAGGTCTTCACTGTCAGTAGTCTATACTATAGTAGAGAGAGAGGTCCTCACTGTCAGTAGTCTATACTATAGTAGAGAGAGAGGTCCTCACTGTCAGTAGTCTATACTATAGTAAAGAGAGAGGTCCTCACTGTCAGTAGTCTATACTATAGTAGAGAGAGAGGTCCTCACTGTCAGTAGTCTATACTATAGTAAAGAGAGGTCTTCACTGTCAGTAGTCTATACTATAGTAAAGAGAGAGGTCCTCACTGTCAGTAGTCTATACTATAGTAAAGAGAGAGGTCTTCACTGTCAGTAGTCTATACTATAGTAGAGGTCCTCACTGTCAGTAGTCTATACTATAGTAGAGAGAGGTCTTCACTGTCAGTAGTCTATACTATAGTAAAGAGATAGGTCCTCACTGTCAGTAGTCTATACTATAGTAAAGAGAGAGGTCCTCACTGTCAGTAGTCTATACTATAGTAGAGAGAGAGGTCCTCACTGTCAGTAGTCTATACTATAGTAAAGAGAGAGGTCTTCACTGTCAGTAGTCTATACTATAGTAGAGAGGTCTTCACTGTCAGTAGTCTATACTATAGTAGAGAGAGGTCCTCACTGTCAGTAGTCTATACTATAGTAAAGAGAGAGGTCCTCACTGTCAGTAGTCTATACTATAGTAAAGAGAGAGGTCTTCACTGTCAGTAGTCTATACTATAGTAAAGAGAGAGGTCCTCACTGTCAGTAGTCTATACTATAGTAGAGAGGTCCTCACTGTCAGTAGTCTATACTATAGTAAAGAGAGAGGTCATCACTGTCAGTAGTCTATACTATAGTAGAGAGGTCCTCACTGTCAGTAGTCTATACTATAGTAAAGAGAGGTCCTCACTGTCAGTAGTCTATACTATAGTAGAGAGAGGTCCTCACTGTCAGTAGTCTATACTATAGTAAAGAGAGAGGTCCTCACTGTCAGTAGTCTATACTATAGTAGAGAGGTCCTCACTGTCAGTAGTCTATACTATAGTAGAGGTCCTCACTGTCAGTAGTCTATACTATAGTAGAGAGAGGTCCTCACTGTCAGTAGTCTATACTATAGTAGAGAGAGGTCCTCACTGTCAGTAGTCTATACTATAGTAAAGAGAGAGGTCCTCACTGTCAGTAGTCTATACTATTGTAGAGAGAGGTCCTCACTGTCAGTAGTCTATACTATAGTAAAGAGAGGTCCTCACTGTCAGTAGTCTATACTATAGTAGAGAGAGAGGTCCTCACTCTCAGTAGTCTATACTATAGTAGAGAGGTCCTCACTGTCAGTAGTCTATACTATAGTAAAGAGAGGTCCTCACTGTCAGTAGTCTATACTATAGTGGAGAGGTCCTCACTGTCAGTAGTCTATACTATAGTAAAGAGAGGTCCTCACTGTCAGTAGTCTATACTATAGTAGAGAGAGAGGTCCTCACTGTCAGTAGTCTATACTATAGTAAAGAGAGGGTCCTCACTGTCAGTAGTCTATACTATAGTGGAGAGGTCCTCACTGTCAGTAGTCTATACTATAGTAAAGAGAGGTCCTCACTGTCAGTAGTCTATACTATAGTAAAGAGAGAGGTCCTCACTGTCAGTAGTCTATACTATAGTAAAGAGAGAGGGGAGGTTGGGTCAGGCGGGGGTGGTGTTGAGGGTGAAGATTATCAAAATTATGAAGAGGTCTTTAACCTGAGTGACGATGATGATTGTGATAGATATGATGATGATTGTGATAGTGATTGTGATAGATATGTGGTCCTCTGTAGCTCAATTGGTAGAGCATGGCGCTTGTAACGCCAGGGTAGTGGGTTCGATCCCCGGGACCACCCATACGTAAAAATGTATGCGCACATGACTGTAAGTCGCTTTGGATAAAAGTGTCTGCTAAATGGCATATTATTATTATTATTATTGTATTATATTATTATAGATATGATGATGATTGTGATTGCGATAGATATGATGATGATTGTGATTGCGATAGATATGATGATGATTGCGATAGATATGATGATGATGATTGTGATAGATATGATGATGATTGCGATAGATATGATGATGATGATTGTGATAGATATGATGATGATTGTGATAGATATGGTGATGATTGTGATAGATATGGTGATGATTGTGATCGATATGATGATGATTGTGATATGATGAAGATTGTGATGATGATAAACTTTAGGTACTTCAAGACAACTTGCTGAAGGAGACGGCAGACACCCTGAGCGACCCACAGTGAGTAGTTGGTCTCTTTTTATTACAACAAAACAAACTGCTCTTTAGCACCTCCGGGAGCTGGGTACTGGACTATAAGAAAGAATGAAGTCCTACCCATAATGCCAGAGAAGCTGTGATCTGTAGCATCGGCTAAATAACCCTGGTTAGGGGGGTGTTGGGCCAGCACAGGTAAAGAGACTGGCTGATTAATGGACCTGTTGATGATGTGTTGTTATGAGGAGTGTTCCAGAGGAGGAGAGGGAGGCCAAGTTTCTCCGGCTGCTTACCAGCTCTCTACTGGGGGTGAAGAGACTGCTGTCCTCCCTGCCCCAGACGGACAAACACGACCTGCAGGACAGACTGACACACCTCCTCAACCAGGCCAAGTTCTGGAAGTACGGCAGACACAAGACCCCACAGGTATGGAGACGGGTACACGCACACGCGCACACACACGCACACACACACACACACACACACACACACACACACACACACTCCACTCCACCCTACTGACGCCCCCCGTGTGTCGTCCTCTGGTCTCTCTCCAGGTGCGTGGTGCGTTCTTCGAGGTGGTCTCTTCCCTGTATGAACACACTCCAGGTCTGATGCAGACTGAGGCAGCCAGAGTATGTCCTGCTGTTCTGCTGTCTATAGATGACACTGACCCTGTGGTGCTGCCTCCTCTCTGGGAAGCTGTACTGCACACGCTCTCCACCTTAACAGTAAGTCTGGGGGGGGGGGGGGGGGGGGGGGGGGTGGAACCATAGACATTCAAACCAGTAGATAGTTATAGCGCTGACGTCATCCACATATTCCTATGGAAAACTCCCGATGGCGCATGAAGCTGGAAGGATTTGAATTTGAAGCGCGTCATATTGCTGAATGGCACCCAAACATTGCTAAGGATCATGGTGAAAGTGGCCATAAATAGCAAAGGATCATGGTTGATGTAGTCTTTTTGGATCATGGTCGATGTAGTCTTTTTGGATCATGGTCGATGTAGTCTATTTGGATCTTGGTCGATGTAGTCTTTCTGGATCTTGGTCGATGTAGTCTATTTGGATCTTGGTCGATGTAGTGTTTTTGGATCATGGTCGATGTAGTCTTTTTGGATCTTGGTCGATGTAGTCTTTTTGGATCTTGGTCGATGTAGTCTTTTTGGATCTTGGTCGATGTAGTCTATTTGGATCTTGGTCGATGTAGTCTTTTTGGATCATGGTCGATGTAGTCTATTTGGATCATGGTCGATGTAGTCTTTTTGGATCTTGGTCGATGTAGTCTTTTTGGATCTTGGTCGATGTAGTCTTTTTGGATCTTGGTCGATGTAGTCTTTTTTTCATCCTCCCTGATGGAGTAAACCTGGTGTTAATGTCTATGAACCTGATGATAGTCTACTGTTAAACCTTATGCAGTTGAAGATTCATTTGGAAGCTCAGCGTTACCTAGAACATAGAACCAGGTCAACACCTCAGCGTTACCTAGAACATAGAACCAGGTCAACACCTCAGCGTTACCTAGAACATAGAACCAGGTCAACACCTCAGCGTTACCTAGAAACATAGAACCAGGTCAACACATCAGCGTTACCTAGAACATAGAACCAGGTCAACACCTCAGCGTTACCTAGAACATAGAACCAGGTCAACACCTCAGCGTTACCTAGAACATAGAACCAGGTCAACACCTCAGCGTTACCTAGAACATAGAACCAGGTCAACACCTCAGCGTTACCTAGAACATAGAACCAGGTCAACACCTCAGCGTTACCTAGAACATAGAACCAGGTCAACACCTCAGCGTTACCTAGAACATAGAACCAGTCAACACCTCAGCGTTACCTAGAACATAGAACCAGGTCAACACCTCAGCGTTACCTAGAACATAGAACCAGATCAACACCTCAGCGTTACCTAGAACATAGAACCAGGTCAACACTGGAAAACGAAACGGACATCAAACATGATCATCAGAATGACCACTGATTGACCGGAAAGATTAGACTCTTTAGAGGGACTATTAGTTCTGTTAAATACCTGACATGGTGACTCTCTGTGTAATTGAACTCCCATTGGCTCAAAGTGAATGAACTCCCATTGGCTCAAAGTGAAGTACCCCATCTAGTCTAGATATCATATGATCCTTCCACCTGGAAATAAAAAGGTAATGGGGTTACCATCACAGCAACCCCCATCACAACTCGGTTAGGCTAGATTGGATTACCCCATGGTGTCCTCCTCCCGCCGGGCCGTTCTCTATGGGCTTGTTGGTGTCCTCGTCCCGCCGGGCCGTTCTGATGGGGCTCGTTGTTGACTCCTCCGCCGGGCCGTTATCTATGGCTCGTTGATGTCCTCGTCCCACTGGGCGTCTCTATGCGGCTTTGTTGTGTCCTCCTCCCACGGGGGCCCGTTCTCTATGGGCGTGTTGAGGTCCTCCTTCCCGCCGGGCCCGTTCTCTATGGGCTGTTGATGTCCTCGTCCCACGGGCGTCTCTATGGCTTGTGATGTACCGTCCACTGGGGGGGCGTTCTCTATGGGTTGTGATGTCCTCGTCCCTAACTGGGCAGTTTCTCTATGGGCTTGTTGATGTTCTCGTCCCGCCCAGGCCGTTCTTATGGGCTGTTGGTGTCCTACTCCCCACTTGGCCGTTTCTATGGCTTGTTGAGTCCTCGTCCCACTGGGCCGTTCTCTATGGGCTTGTTGGTGTCCTCGTCCCGCCGGCCGTCTCGATGGGCTTGTGATGTCATCGTCCCCACGGGCCGTTCTCTAGGGCTTCTATTGTTGATGTCCTCGTCCACTGGGCGTTCTCTATGGGCTTGTTGATCGGCCTGTCCACGGGGCCGTTATCTATGGGCTTGTTGATGTCCTCGTCCCACTGGGCCGTTCTCTATGGGCTTGTTGATGTCCTCGTCCCACTGGAATATCCAACTCGACCGGACCAAAAATCAACCTCTGTCTCTGTCTGTCTGTCCCAGGACTGTTGGAGTCATGTCAACGCAGGAAGGCTGTTCTGCCTAAACTGTCGGTCCCTGTTAAAGGATGGGGGTAAAGGTCTGGCTACAGCGCTCCACCCAAACCTGCTGCCCCTCATCAGTAAACTACCCGCTGAGGTCACTACACCTAACCTAGACTTCTACACAACCTTCTACAGCTGTCTCATAGAAGGGTAAGGAGGGGGGCGGGTTAAGGAGGGGGTGGGTTAAAGGAGGAGGTGGGTAAGGAGGGGGTGGGGTAAGGAGGGGGGTGTGGTTAGGAGGAGGGAGGTTCAAGGAGGGGAAGGTAAGGAGGGGCGGGTAAGGAGGGGGCGGGTAAGGAGGAGGCGGGTAAGGAGGTGGGTTAAGGAGGGGGCGGGTAAGGAGGGGGTGGGGTAAGGAGGGGATGGGAGGAGAGGGCGGTTAAGGAGAGGGAGTTAAGGAGAGGGAGGGTAAGGAGAGGGAGTTTTAAGGAGGGGGCGGGAAAGAGAGGGAGGGTTAAGAGGGAAGTGGGTAAGGAGGAGGTGGGTAAGGAGAGGGAGGTTAAGGAGAGGGAGGTTAAGGAGAGGGAGGTTAAGGAGAGGGAGGTTAAGGAGAGGGAGGGTAAGGAGGGGGCGGGAAAGGAGGGGGCGGGTAGGAGGGGCGGTTAAGGAGAGGAGGTTAAGGAGAGGGAGGTTACGGAGGGGGCGGGTAGTAAGGAGGGGTGGTGGGTAGGAGAGGGCGGGGGGAAGTAGTGTGTTGTTATCTGATTAAGCTGCAGTGTTTAACCCTGTGGTGTGTGTTATCCTGAGGACAGCTGCAGTGTTTAACCCTGTGTGAGCTGCAGTGTTTAACCCTGTGTGAGCTGCAGTGTTTAACCCTGTGTGAGCTGCAGTGTTTAACCCTGTGTGAGCTGCAGTGTTTAACCCTGTGTGAGCTGCAGTGTTTAACCCTGTGTGTGTCTGTGATGCAGCTTGTCCAGTGAGCGGGCTGTGGCCAGTCCGTCAGAGAGTGCAGCGATAGTGGAGTCACTAGTAGAGTGTGTGAGATACACTCTGTTGCAGAACACTGGGGAAGAGGAGGAACACACAAGCATACGCACCATGCTAATAGAACAACAGGTAAGAACACGCACCATGCTAATAGAACAACAGGTAAGAACACGCACCATGCTCAGAGAACTACAGGTAAGAACACGCACCATGCTCAGAGAACTACAGGTAAGAACACACACCATGCTAATAGAACTACAGGTAAGAACACGCACCATGCTAATAGAACAACAGGTAAGAACACGCACCATGCTAATAGAACAACAGGTAAGAACACGCACCATGCTAATAGAACAACAGGTAAGAACACGCACCATGCTAATAGAACTACAGGTAAGAACACGCACCATGCTAATAGAACTACAGGTAAGAACACGTACCATGCTAAGAGAACTACAGGTAACACTTCACACATACAGAATTATAATTTATCTTTTCTCTCTGTCCATAGCTCCTCCCCCTCATCGACAGTGCCCTGGGAAGCCCCTCCCTCCAGGCCGGTCCCCTTTTCCCATTGGTTACGGACATGCTTGTCTCCTGGGAGAAGAGGGCTGGACTTCAGGATGTGGGTGGGCTTAGCGAGGGAGAGAACGAGGTTGTCTTTGATAGGCTGCTGGCTGACTTCTGGGAGGGGCTTAGGGTGATGTTCGCCCGTCGTGTACAGAGTGACAATCTGGAGCCGAAAGAGCTAGAAGGAATGTCCTCGCTGCTAAAGGTGTGTTGTCTGTTTGCCTGTCTCTCTCTCTCTCTCTCTCTCTCTGTCTCTCTCTGGCTCTTCGTCTCTCTCTCTCTATGCTCTCTTTCTCTCTGTCTCTCTCTTGTCTCTTCTTCTCTCTCCTTCTCTCTCCTCTGTCTCTGTCTCTCTCTGTCTCTCTATTGTCTCTCTCTCTGTCTCTATGTCTCTCTCTGTCTGTCGTCTGTTTGTATCCTCTGTCTCTGTCTCTACTGTCTCTGTATGTATGTCTCTCTATCTCTTCTCTCTCGCTTTCTCTCTCTCTGTCTTCTGTCGCTCTTATGTTCTCTTATGTCTCTTCTACCTTATGTCTCTCGTGTCTCTCTCTCTTCTCTCTCTCTCTCGCTCTCTCTTTCTCCTCTGTATTTGTCTCTATCTTTTTGTCTCTGTCTGTACAATCTCTCTCTCTCGTAAATCTCTGAATGCCTGTGTCGGTATCGGTCTCTCTCTCTCTGTCGTCTCTTTGTCTTGTTATGTCGCTCTTCCTGGTCTCGCTCTCTCTGTCGGTCTGCCTGTCTGTCTGTGCTGTCTCTCTTTCTCTCTCTGTCTGTCTCTCTCTTCGTATGTTCTGTCTCTCTCTGCTGTCTTCTCGTTGTCTCTGTATGTCTATCTGTCTCTCCGTCCTCTCTGTCGGTCTCTTGTGTCTCTGTCGTCTCTCTCTGTCTCTCTGTCTCTCTATATCTCTCCAATCTCTCGCTGTCTGTATGTCTCTCTCTCCTTTATCGGTCTCTCTATCTCTCTCTCTTCTTCCTCTCTCTCTCTCTATCTCTCTCTCTTCTCTCTCGGTCTGTCTCTTCTTGCGCTCTTCTGTTCTCTCTATTTTGTCTCTGTCTCTCTGTCTGTCAATCTCGTGTCCTCTATGTTTGTATCCTGTGGCCTGCTGTCTGTGTCTCTGTGATCTCTCTCTCTGTCTCGATCTCTCTTTCGCTGTCTCTCTCTATTCTCTTTCTGTCTCGTTCTCTTCTCTCCCTCTATCTTTGGTTCTATGTCTGTCCTCTGTATCTCTCTGTCTTGTCTGTCTGTCCATCTGTTCTGCCTGTCGGTTTGTCTTGTTTGTGTCTCTCTCTCTCTCTTCTCTCTCTCTCTATCTCTCTCTCTCTGTATTGGATGTATGTTTCTCGCGCTCTGTCTATGTCTATGTTCTTTCTGGTCTGTCTGTCTGATGTCTCTCGCTCTGTCTATCTTATCTATCTCTCGCTTTGTATCTATGTCTGTCTCTCTCTTCTCTTGTCTCTGTCTCTCTCTGTTCTGTCTCTCTCTCTCTGTCTGTCTCTCTCTCTATGTTCTTCTGTCTCT